GGGGGGGGGGGGGCGATTTGCTTGTCTAACCACTGGCTGCCCTCCCTGAGTGCTATTCCCACTGCCAACTCTCTGCTAATGAGTAGTTTGAGCAGGATAGATTCGCTGCACCACCACCATTACCACCTCACGGATGAGCATTAAGAAGCCCTACGAGAGCTGGCATAGAGCTGACATAAGCCCGCACAGCAGACCATTAAAGGCTCATAGCGGGGAGAGATAGCTCCCTGACTCACCACATTTCATCCCCCATTTTTTTTTTCCTACTGCCCTCCCCTTCTCTCTAACTTGCCTTCTTTTCTATTCTTTCTCCTAATCTGTGTCAAAGTTTCTGTGGGCTTCTCTCTCTCCCTCATCTGTCTTTTTTCCTTTCTGTTCCCCTGTGCTCTTTGTTAAACCCACACTCCTCTGCATCGCCCTCCTTACTTGCCCTCGTGCCGTACTTCCTCCCGGGCCTCCCTCCAGGACCTGGAGGAGGAACTGGAGCTGGATCGGAGGCGAGTGTCCGAGGCCGAGGGCGTGGCTAAGCGGGCGGAGGAGGAGCTTGGGGTCGCCAAGGAGAGGCTGCTGCTGCAGGAGGACGAGCTGCAGAGCAGAGCAGGTAGTCTGTGTCCGCCCTCTCACCTGTCTGCTTAAGAAAGCTCACATCGGCGAAAATCAGCTGAGCTCATTGCATTTCCATGATTCATTCTGACTCAGCGCTAATTAAGTTTTCGCCTCACGCCATTATAATATATACAGAAAATGCAACAAATGCACATTATTCATCCTCCATAAAGGCAAACAGTTTCATCAAAGTGTCATCGTACCTAGTCAGCAAGAACGCCCTGAATTTTATTTATTGCACAAGAACGATTTTTTGTTTTAGGCGCTTCCTCATTCCGTATGGGTCTGCTGTAGGTCCATTCTGCTTCTATTATGCATAATCAATCAATACGTGCCTGTGTTCACTATGGGTGTTTGTTGGTGTTTATTTGGTTTGCGTTCTGTGTGTGTGTATCAGAGGAGCTGCTGAACCGCGGGGGCTGTGAGGTGTGTGTGTGTACTGAAGTAGAGGAGCTGAGGAGCCAGGTGAGCCGAATGCAGAGCAGGAACAGAGAGCTGGAGCTGCAGAGCAGTGGCAGGAACAACGACCACGCCCGGCAGATACGCCAGGTAAAGAAAAGCACCAACACACTTAAAGGTCTCCTATCATGCAAAATGCACTTTCTTATGTCCTTTATACATAAATATGTGTCCCAGACTCCCCGGTGTGTCAGGAAACTCACAAAGTGTCAGAAAACACAACCCTCTCTCTTTTACTCCGTACCCAAATCTCTAAAAACGGGGGTACAACGGAGCTGATCCAGATTTGCTGCCGATATGACATAATATCGGAAATGTGGACTGGCTTTACACCCTCGGCCCTAACAGAAACGGCGCTATCAGAAACAATGCGCAACGTGTTTTGGATGTAATATGGTCTTTGTTTACATTAGCAAGTATTGCTAACACTCAGCTAACCTGTACTGGAGAGAGTAAGTGTAAAAAAGCAGGACATAATAAGGCGTTCACACTGCAGTACTTTTCCCACTTTAGTTCCGATATAGTTCCGAAATGTCACGTTCACACCAAAAAGAGCAGGAACTAAAATGAGTTCATCAGAACCTTTTTTACCCCCTTTTCCGTCCCTGCTAGAGAGCATGGACTTTCGTGGGAGAAAAAGGTTCCTATGTCTGATTGGCTGGGCGGAATGCAAACCACGCCTCGTAAAACAAAACAAAAAAATAGTGAAGCCGCCATTTTATTATTCTCGCATTAGCATTATTAGCATTAGCCCAGCAGCTTCTACTGAAGGCAGTCCCCAACTCCGGGGACTTCCGGCTGGGGACTTCGGGTGGCAGTACGCCATGAAGTTGTTTGCGGCATGCCAGTAAACCCAAAGCAGAAGAAGAAGAAGTGACGTCAGCTAGGGGTGGGCGATACCACAAAATCTGGATTCGATCCGATACCAAGTATTTCAGGGCCAGACTATCGCCGATACCGATATCGATACTTTTTTTTTTTTATGAAAAGCGTCTTATGTACTTTCATATAGGGGAGAGCTGCATGACATGATTTTTGAGCTGAAATCATCATAAATAGACTAAATCTGAATTCATTTNTGTGTTGTGGTGTGTGTGTGTGTGGTGTGGTGTGTGTGTGGTGTGTTGGTGTGGTGTGTGTGTGTGTGTGTGTTGTGGTATAGGAAATACAGAGCTAAGCCCGTCGTAATACGACACAAGGGTCTTCGGCACCTACAAAATAAGTTCTCTTGCTATTTCTGCAACTAATAATAATTTTACGAACAGTTTATGTACATAAGTAAAATAACACACACACACACACATATCATACACTAGAGACAGACAATGGACGAACGGTCTCGGTAGTAGCACACACACGACATCAACAACGAACATCCAGAAATAGACGACGTACACAGAGACCCAGTAGACAGACGAGGTGAGACACACGACGACCCAGTTTGAGACGGTGCGAAACTCTAATAGACTGTGTGTGTGTGTGTGTGTGTGTTGTGTGTGTGGTGTGTGTGTGGTGTGTGTGTGTGTGTGTGTGTGTGTGGTGTGGTGTGTGGTGTGGTGTGTGTGTGTGTGTGTGTGTGTGTGTGTGTGTGTTGTGTGTGTGTGTGTCTCTTTTGTTTTATGTAAACCGGGTGACAATTGTCCATGTGAAAACAGACGACAACGGTACCACCTTCACTATAGGTACCGTTATCGTTGAAGTGACAACTTAAGTATTAGAGTTACACATTTAGCGAGACACACACACTCACAGGCATCGTCGAGACATACACAATGTGTCTTCGACACACACGATTACAAACAATTACCGAGTACGGACAAATACCACACATACACACACAACAAACACACACACACACACACACACACGACAACACACACACACACACACCACACCACACACACACACAACACACACACACACACACACACACACACACACACACACACACACACACACACACACACACACACACACACCCACACACACACACACACCACACACACACCTAACAATATGGATCGAGGTCCATCCACGTTACATCGACGTCAGAAAGGATGAGTCTTCGTCTAGAAGAAGCGGGACAGAGAGATTGCGTGCGTCTCGGAACCGCACTGACACGGGAAAAAGGGAGGAGAAGGACTTCCAGACACCAAACCCCAGGACATTGTGGTATGCAAACATGATGTCTTCGGGGAGGTTGTAATTCTCTTTGCCGTGGTGAGGACCATCCTCTTAGTAATGCTACCACGGAGAAAGTGACGTCGCGAAGATCGCGACAAAATTAATAAAGTAGGTGTCTCTCTTTACTAAACTCACATGGACGTCGTCTATGGAGTCAAAAGAACAAATAGAGGAACCACGCAGAACCTTGGGAGAAAGATTCGGACCAGTTAAAGTCCCAACGGTACCGTTAAAAGAGGGCCTGGTGAAGGAAGAGAACGAGGCGGACACAAACCGTCTTTTTACACATCGTTTCCTAAAAATTCCGAGAACACACACAACGTCATTAGGACTTAACTATTTAACCTAATTTACGTTCTTCGACGAACCAAATTCTTAAACGTCTGAAGTTTGTTGAAATAATTTTATTTATTTATTGAGTGAAGCAAGCACGTGTGTTTTATCCGAATACCTTGATTAATTTTCTCAGGAGATCGTTAAATCATAAACGTGAAGTAATTCAACCCTCTTTGTCAAGTTAACTACGTTGAGTTTAAAGAAGAATGAAAATAAGACTATATTCGAGAACACGAAGGAGAGATATAAAGCGACCTAGGGTTCACTATTTTACGTCCTTCTCACATATAGAGGGAGAGAAAGAGACCATATAGAAGGATAATAAAGAATTTCGCGTAGAAGAAATCGTAACAAAGGGGGACAGATAATCAATAACAGACCAATCTTAAATAGATAACCAAATAAATAGTTGTCGAGAATACACTTCAAGTAATGAATGATAAGAATACACAACACAACCGTGTAACACGCCGGTTATTTACAGGGGAGTATATTATTATTGTTTATCTATTAACTCCTGATATACACACAACACAAATCAAGAGAAGACAAGGACTATTGGAAACAACATTATATATATATACATATATATAAAACACGTATATATATATATCGACAACCCAAAGACAGGGAAAAGAGACAAGAGACAAAGTAAGACACTTCATAATTATAAGACACCAACCAATACATTAGAATCCAACAACCGCAGAAATCATCATGTGTCGTAAAGTTGATTGATACAGAAACTATGAGCCAAGTCTATTTAGGATATAAATCCATATAGAACAAAGCCGGAGTATGATTCCGTCGAAATTAGACGAATAGTTTTTATTAGTAATCACCTAAGTTTTAACACTATTGAAATCAAATTTAGAACATACAGGAAAGGTTACGTCAGACCATTGTCACCGTCTGGAGTCCCAAAATGACAGGTCTAGAAATAAAGAAGAAAGTCTATGATTTTGCTAAAATTTGATTAAATTGATTTGTCGTTGGGTCCAGAACCAAATATAGTATACAAGATATTTACACCTAAAGATACACTACTACTCTAATAAGAACAGATACAGCCAGTTCCATGAAACTTCTACAAACACTAGTTAGGAAACCTAAGTCGAGACGAAGTCGACTAAGACGACGGTCTTATAGACCGAGAGACAACGAGAGACGTAAGAAACATAGACGGTGGAGACAATTACAAGCGAGAGACGAGATGCCGACCGTAAGTAAGAGACTAGGAACTTGAGGTCGAGACTCTGCATAGGAGTGTAGAGACGGGACCGTCCATCAGCGTAGTGTTGAGTACTTCACTCATAGAGATGTACGTTTGCAAAAGATGAAATAAAAGAAGAAAATAAGAGGTGACAACCCCGAAGATTGCTAATCAAGTCCCGAAGTATTTACACATATTGGATTAATAAAAGAAGTGAAAGGAAAGTATTACAAAATTACTAGTTTTGGAACAGACAAAGTATAATTATCGTTATATCATTTAGACCATCATCTTTAGTAGGAAGAGTCCAGAAACGAAGGAAAACTAACCTTTTCTGGAGTTTTTGACTAATATCAGAAATACAAGGAATAAAAATTTTCTTACTGTATGTTAATTAACTAACGGTATGCAAAATATTCTCCCCTTTGGACGATACAAAATTTCCAAAAAATCTACTATAAATGTGGGTTAAGATTTATTTTCTTAACAGACAAATAGATACGGGACAAAATATGATCTATACATTATTAGAACTTCTACACAACCTTAGATAAACTATACTCATGTTCTGTCCTTAATTACGGTTTAAACACTTTGAGTAATATAGATCATAAATATAACACTAACAACCAATCTAAAGTTAAAAGTGAATATGAACTGTGCAACAAAATAGTTGAATACTATTAGTAAAAATAGTGACAGTCCCGAATAAAGACAGTACACAAAATGACCCATTTTGATAATGGACAGCATTTTCGAGTAGATTAATTTTATAGTTACAATTCACACTTTTTCTACGACAGTCCGTAACCGTGACAGGCTCGTATATACCTCGTTCTACACGATTACTATAATGTAAATCAAAAATAGCGAAATTAATAGGAGTATTCGTTTGTGAAGCATTACTGGATATACCCCTGTCGATATAAAACACACCAGGTGAAGTTGCACAAATTGACGTCCGGATACTCATAACTTGGTGAACTGGGAACTTGGACTATGGGATTACCATACGTGGTAAAGGTGGACACCCCTTTACAATAAAGAGGATTTTAGATCACTAACAGTGTAGTAGTAATCTAAGGATACGTTTATCTACAAATATAAATTCGTCGGAAAGGTTACTAGTAATTAATTTTGCTGATTTTGATATTACGATTTGGACAGCGACTAACAACTGAAATCGAATTGACCTAGTAAGTAGTCACTTTTATATTGTATCTTTTAAAAAACTTCAAAGTGTACAACTTACTTGGGACACTGTGTGACTAGTGATCGATTTAAAATATACTGAAAAAACACCAAACAACACCACAGAGACAACACACAACACACTAAATACGAACTTGATTATGTA